GTTTACTGACTCGGATACGAGCACTCTTAATTAAGATTGGTAGATTTTGGTTTTTCATACATACCGTGAAGTCAACTTTTGTGCTGATTATCTTGCTACTCTTCCACTTTAGAATGCTTCAATACTGGATGATATTATTTTTGTGAATCCTCCTAGACCTTTACAACTTATGCTCTAGGCGGACACTGCTCGAGTTTGCCATATAAAAAGGAGAATGTGATAGCTTTTGTCTTTATGATTTTGTTTGTTTAATTTGTGCATTTTCTTTTATTTGTTTTTCATCAAAAAAGAAGAAGAAGAGAGGAATGCATATTTAGACAGTATTTATTTACCGTGCAAAAATGGAACAGTTTGTTTTATTCTTTTTCCCTTTACAGTAAAATAAAACAATTAAAAATACTATTTTTATTCCAATTTCCAGTTTTTTTTCCTTCTAAAATATACCTAATATAAAATATAACTCATATTTATTTATTTATTTTTAATTAATGCATCTAACAAACGCTTTTTGGAATCATGTGAGTGATTGCTAGAACAAAGGAGATTTAGACAATACGTCCAAAAATTATTAATTCGAATTTTTTTGGTATAGAATTTTAGGAGTGGATAGTTATCTTATTACAAGATTATGATTCAACAATCACTTACAATAATAATTATAGCGACCTACAAATGGCGAATCCAATATCGTTTGGTCTAATATAGTTTGATCTTACCAGTTATAATTTCAATATTGAATTATAAACTTGAATTTTCATACCGACGTTGAACTTAAAAAATTGTTATTATTGTTAATTATTATAAGGGAACACTTTTGAATCCAAGTCTTATTCTCTATTTTAATGGTTAAATTTCGTTCATTTAATGGCCGTAATTAATTATTAATTATAAATAAATTATAATCAAAAGATGGATAGAAATTAACCGTTCATATGAGAAGTAAAACTTGTTAATTTTAGAATAGAGTCAAATGATCTTCACCCTATTATTATTTATTAACAAATGTTAAGAGGACAAGAGATTATCTGGATATTACAAATTTCAACAAAAAAAATAAAAAAAATTGCAGTAATATTTATTATATGTACCTTCCAATGAAAACTGCTAGATTTGAAGATATTTATTTTTTGGAAACATAGATTTGAAGATATTATACATAAAGCAAGTGGCAAGTGATGTAGGGCAACTAATGAACTAAATAATCAGTAAACGATGGACGCTCCATTCCCAGGAAAAAGCATCCTTATTGGGGGAGGGGGAATTGCGCCAGATAGATACCACACGGGACTCACCAAGCGTAGATATTTAGCAATATATTATTTGTCGTTTCCTGTATTACTTATTATTTGTCGTTTCCTCTCTATACACAATAATTAATACAGCTTTTCTATTATTGCATCACAAGCAACAACAAATATAACATTAAAATTTAGCTTTTTAATGTTTCAGGTCGAAATTAATCTTTTTGATACATCCAAATTTGTTTTTTTGTGTTTGTGCATCTTTTTATATTATAATTTTATCCAATTTTAATTTTGATTATTTTTGCAAACTTGCACACAATATAATATATATATGAGGTAGGATCCTTTGATACCGGTGTCAAATTTGAAATTTGACACCTCATCTGATAGCCGTTAGATCAAAAAAGATGAATGGTGTCACATGCTTACAAATCAGAGTCATTGATCTTTTTTGATCTAACGGCTATCAGATGAAGTGTCAAATTTCAAATTAGATACTGATGTCAAAGGATCCTATATATATATATATATATATATATATATATATATATATATATATATATATATATATATATATATCTATACAAAAAATCAGTCACTGGACTGTCTAGTGAGTGTATTGTGACTATATTCTCCTGCGAGAATATAGTGCAAAAATATTACAATGGTGTTCTTCAGGTGTTCTCCTGGGAGAACATAGTTATAATATTTTTTGCACTATATTCTAGCGAGAGAATACAGTGCACTGGACCAAAATTACATCCAGTCACTTGATACTCACTAAGCCCATATATATATATATATATATATATATATATATATATATGAGATTGGATCCCTTGACACCAGTGTCAAATTTTGAAAATTGACACCAAATCCTAACTTTTGATTTCCGTCAATCAACGATTATCATTTATTTGGAATCAAACTTATTAATTAATATTAATTCTCAATAAATGATAACCGTTGATTGACAGAAATCAATGAATAAGATTTAGTGTCAAATTTTAGAATTTAACACCGGTGTCAAAGGATCCTACCCCTATATATATATATATATATATATATTTTTTTTTTTTTTTTTTTTTTTTGAATACTTTTTCAAACTGCACACAGCTCTTTGACTTAAATCAGCATCCGTATAGGATATATCATATTCATGGCAACAAATATTTAATGAGGCTACCAAAGAATAAAATTATTGTATTAAAAAGATTAATTTCGACCTGAAGCATTTAAAAAGCTAAATTTTAATATTATCTTTATTGTTGCTTTCGATGCAATAATAGAAAAGCCGGATTAATTAGGGTGTGCATAACAACCCTTCTATTCCCTCACACTGTTTCTGAAAAGAAACAATTCTTTTCTATTTCTGTTCCTTGGAACAGTTTCTGAGAAAAAAATGTGTTTGATAACATGCTCTATTTTTATTCCGAGAATGAGAATTACGTTTGATAACATAACAAATAATATAATAAAAAATAATTCCTATTAAATATAAAAAAAAATTCGGATCATCACTTTCCTTTCCATATGGTGTGGTTGTGGTGGTGGTGGCGGCAGGGGGTGGCATAGTGGTGGTGGTGGTGATGGTGGTGGCGACGACAGTACGGCAATGGTAGTGGTGGAGGTGACAGCAGTGAATGCGACAATGGTGGTGGGGATGGTTGGTGGCGGCGACAGTGGTAGCGGTGGCATGGTGGTCGTGGTTGTGATGGCATCTTGGAGGTGGTGGTGGCAGTGCTGCGACGGTGGCAGTGGTGGTAGGTGACAGTGGTGGTGATGGTGGTTGTGGTTGGTGGCGGCAGCGGTGTCGATGGTGGCTGCAACAATGATAGTGGTGGTTGGTGACAGTGGTGGTGATGGTAGTGGTGGCGTTGTGGTGGTGGTAGTGGTGGCGATGGTGGTGGTGGCAGTGGCGTGGTGATGCGATGGTGGCGGTGGCGGCAGTGGTTGCGATAATGGTGGTGGTGGTTGATGGCGGTAGTGGTGATGGTGGTGGTGACGGTGACGGTGATAGTGGTGGTGGTGGTTGCAGCGGTGGTAGTTGTGGTGGTGGTCAGTGATGATGGTGGCAGTGGCATCGTGGTGGTGGGGGGTGGTCACGACAGCACTAGTGGTACGACAGCGGCGACGATGGTGGCGGTGGTTGTGTTAGGATGATGGTGGTGGTAGTGATGATGGTAGAGAAGGAGAGTGATTAAGAGAGATAGTGTTTCTCATTTTGTGCCCGGGAATAAAAAAGCAGAAATTTTCTGATTCTTTTTTCTATTCCCCAGCACAAAAATTAATCCGGTTCATCCCGGGAACAAAAAATTAAACCGATTTTATCAAACGAGTTTTCTATTCATTTTTGTTTTCAAAAATAGAAATTAAAAAATAATTGATTCGGGAAAAGTTGTCATGCGCACTCTTATTGTGTACAGAGCGGAAACGACAAAAAAAAAAAAAAAGTAATAGAGGAAACGACAAATAATAAGTAAAGCTAAATATCTACGCTTGGTGAGTCCCAAATGGTAATGTTACGGGACTAGTCCCTTACTTTTTACGTGCGGGGCTAACGTCGGTAGCTGATGTAACATTGACTCCAGTATTGATCAGCTACGTAGCACCGATATTGACACGGGACACGTGACACGACACAATACGATACTCCGACACGTTAATTTTAAAAACTGTTAGATTTTGACACGTTAGGACACGTTGTGATATTAAATAATATTTTTTATTTATGTAGTGTATATTATATTTAATATTCAATAATTTAACAAAAAAATGAAGTTAAACTTATAATACTCATCAATTTTGCAAAGAAACATAATATATCCCAAATATTTATATTAAACTCAATAAAATTATAATTGTAATCCAACGAATCTTTTAGTTGGAACTAAAAACACAACGCAATGTAACCTTTGAACCATTTTTTGAGTTTCTATAATGCGTGTTGGAGTGTCGGAGAGTGTCGAAGTGTCGGAGAGTGTCGGAAAGTGTCGGACACGACACGTCAAGGTCTTTAAAGTGTCGGTGCTTCATAGTTGATCAGGGACTGGTCTCGTACTAATTATTTATAAGTTTGACAGTATTAATTTAAAAAAATTTATCCAATCAAATTAAATTGGACAATTTTTTTGCCCAATAATTCTTTAATGATGCTTTTGCCTCTATTCCCATGTTGGCTTTTTACGTGTAAAGTAAGAGAAGACTACTTCAAACAACATCACCAATCAAGAGTCTTTTTTATGCCATTCAAGACAATACCATCAATAGATCACAATGGTACATTACTATGAAACAAAATTTTATGAATTTACCATCGAATGAATTGGATATATGAGGTTATTTCAAATTTTAACTAATAGTCTCAAATTCAAACTCTAAATACGCAATTGTATTAAAAATATGATTGGAAAAACTTTCCTACCTTTATGATCTTACCCAGTTCAAACCAAATTATTTGAGAAAAAATAAAAACATTACGAATTTATTATATAGAAGTGGTGATTAACCAAGCTTTTCATGACTAAATATTAATGGCCAAACTTTTAAAGATAACTGTGACAAAGAAAGAAAAAGAGGTACTCACTTATAAAAAAATGACTACGAGTATATTTACAAATAAAAAAGTCATCCCATAAACCCACCCGTATAAGTTAAAAGATAAATGTCTCTTGGGATGAGAAACGCATAGCACTATAAATATAAGTACCGTTTCGCTCTCAGCTCTCAACCCTCAACCCTCAACCTTCAAGTGTGATCAAACAGTTTGATTTGCATTCCATTCCTAATATATAGAACTCTCCTCAAGATTATGATGAGGATGGGGAGGGAGTTAAAAACCTTTCGTGCCATCATAGGACTAGTGGTTACCTTTATCTTGATGATGATGATTGTGCCAAAAAAAGCGAGTGCTAATCAGAGTGATACAGTACCCAATGATGTTTCAGTGGCTGAGATCGTCACACAAGAATTCTTCGATGGAATAATTGATCAAGCAGATGCTACTAGTTGTGAAGGGAAGAACTTCTACACTCGAGATGCTTTCCTCAGTGCTCTCGATTCCTACAACAACTTTGGTATTGGTCCTGTGGATGACTCTAAGCGTGAGATTGCAGCTGCTTTTGCACACTTCACCCATGAAACTGGACGTTAGTACTATTATTGCAAATTAAAACTATTTCTCTTCTACATGCAGCATGTGTATATATAAAGTTAATAATGAACGATTAGTTAGAATGGTCACGTTTTTTATATGCAGATTTTTGCTACATAGAAGAGATTGAGGGTGCATCAAAGAACTATTGCGACGAAACCAACACCGAATACCCATGTGCCCCTGAAAAAGGGTACTATGGGCGTGGACCTATCCAACTATCATGGAACTACAACTATGGACCAGCAGGGGAGAGAAACGATTTCGATGGATTGAACGATCCAGAGACAGTGGCCGAGGACCCTGTTGTGTCTTTCAAGACAGCATTGTGGTATTGGATGCAAAATGTGAGCCCTGTTAAAAACCAAGGATTTGGCGCAACCATAAGAGCTATCAATGGCGAACTTGAATGTCATGGTGCCAACCCCGACACGGTTCAGGCTCGCGTTGATTACTATACCGAATATTGTTCACAACTCGGTGTTGATGCTGGTGATAACCTTGATTGCTAAGTTATTATATAGCTACTCGGAGACGTATCTATATATATATGTAGAATAATATTGGATATGATGTTATGTGATAAAAACACATCATACATGGTATTCAATCCCGCAAATCAATGATAGAAGTGTATTAGTAGTGAGGAACCGTTAGATACGTATAAATAAGGGGAGAGATTATATGTTTAATCCTCCCCCGCTCCATCATATTATAAACAAACAAAAAAATCTTAAGGATAGAAGATATTATGTTTCTGTAGTTACTCTGTGACAGTAAAAATTTAATAGCTAATACAATAGGAAAAAACAAAAAATTTGTAGCAAGGGTACTAAATAAGGGGAAAGATGTCATATGTTTGGGAGGAGTTTCTCGTCCCGTACTCTAGATTAGTCCGGCTCAAAGAGTCAAAATTTGTAAAGATATCAAGGGAGTCAATTTGTCTCAAAAAAATAATTAGAGTTGGATTAACTTAAAAATAAATTAAAATAAATAAATATGATAGTATCATTTAATCAATACTTTTTGCGAAATGAATTTATTAAATAAATTTGGAATTTTGTTAACAAATGATTCAAGATCATTCATAAAGGAATTAACAAAGAAAAGATTAAATAAAAGTATAAACGTAGTTAATATTTTAACGATTAAGAAAAGCATTTAAAATTCAATGAATAGTATTATTTGGAATACGCCGTCATAAACAAGCTCGTTTGGTGGTTGTCTCTTATGCTGATATTGTTCACGCAACTTCAGGTCTCGAAGAACTGGGACATTTATTTAATTTGATAATTCTAAGTTTTTCTTCAATCCGTGTCTTCTTGTTGACTGGTTGTCAGCTTCTTAATCTTAAGGATGGGAGAGAGAAAAAAATAATCAAACCAACATTGATGTAAAGTGCAAGAACCAGCTGCTTGTCAATCTTTAGGATGTGAGAAAACCATTCAAGCCAAAAAGATGAAAGCACAGACCAAGGGTTATATTTTACGCACATTCACTTTATTTTACTAACAAGACTTGCAATTGGCAGTAATCTCAAATAAATTATTTTTTCTTTGGTCCTAATATCGAGGCCCAATAAGCTTAGATCATTACATGAGTTCCACGTTTAGAGTTGTCAAAATGGCCCGGCCCGGCCCATTTAACCCTAGCCCATGTAGGTTAGGGCCAAAAAGCCAACAATTATATGGGACCACATGGGCCAAAAGTCCTATGGGTTAGGGCCAGTTCGTGGGCCTTCAAAAATTTAATGTGTATTTTTTTTGTTGAACAAAAAAGCTCATACTTAATTTTTATTAAACTGTTGGTAATTTTCCAATCTCAAGCAACAACCTATACCAAGTTCCAACTTGGTTTTCCAACCAATTTGATTTTATTTAACCTAAAATCTTATAAAACAATCAGATACAAATGCTGGACAAAATGAAATAAATTTCCATAAAAATTTGGGAGGCAACTACATATTTTTTTTCCATGAATCAAATAGTTCGATGAACTAACTATAAGACAACTTCATTTGAGTAAAGAGAATGTATAACTAAGACAGATTTTTTCCATGACAGTGGCAGCAGCCAGCAAATGTATAACTAAGACAGATTTTTTCCATGACAGTGGCAGCAGCCAGCAACACCAACTAAAGGTTTTCCATAATTAGAAACCAATTGATCAAAAAGTCAAAGATATCAATGTCTATAACAGCAGAGGCCACATCCTCTTTGTGCAAAGTTCTCCTTTTGCCTTGGATGGCCATGATCCAAGACCTTCTTGTAATCTCCTCAATGTAGATACAACTAGAGCGTTAGAAATCTGAGTTGCAAGTGAACAAAACAATGAGATTATGATTGAATTTTACATGTATGTTTACAAAATAGTATAAGTCAAAACATAATTCCTCGGTGTCTTGGCAATAAAACCACAGGTAACGGTTTTACAAGCATACATCAACATTATAAGCATAATACCAAACGAGGCCAATATCACAATAATCAATCAAAGCATCATAATTATCAAACGTAATGAGCCTTTCCTTTCAAACAAAATGAAATGCCGAGTCTCACTGTCACTCCAGTGATTTCAAACCTACAATCTCTAATTGCCTTCCATTGTTGAAAGGAAACAAAGTAACAACAGAAACAATATAATTTCGTAATTAATTAACAAGGCAATGACGTATTTTCATCTTTCATAGAACATACAAACCTATTCCCAAGCCACTGTGATCGACAAATAGTTCCACTTGCTCAAATCTGTACAATTAACATAAATATATAAACTCAATTAACATAAATACCTCTCTAATCTTCAATTTGAACTTCTTGATGCACATTGGCTTATGATGTTGTTTCATGATCACTAGTATTAGAATCACCTTCATCTAAAACTCATAACCAAGTAAAACAAAACTACTCAATTATACAATCAATCCCAACATAACCAAGCAATATTACATCTGCTTATAAAATATTAAGCATAATAACTCAAAGCATCTACTCAATTAGGATTCTCGAGAAAACCATGCAACCAATTCCTAGTGCAAATCAACATTTGGACATTTTCAGGAAGAGTGGAACTTCTATATTTGGTAAGAACACGCCCCCCGATACTAAAAGCCGATTCTGATGCCACTGTAGTAATTGGAATACTTAGCACATCTCGGGCCATAATAGAGATTGTGGGAAATCTATTCTTATTGTGCTTCCAATAATTAAGCACGTCAAAATCCTCCCCATCACCATATTTAGCTTTTGGTTCATCCAAATAAAGATTTAATTCACTCTTACCACCAACAAACATACTTTCATTCTCAAACCTTTCAAACTCCTGCAAACTTTGATATATCAATTATATAAACGAAACAACAATGAAATTTTTTTTGACTAAATTAGCACGAAAGAACTTACACTTATGTATAATTTTGATTTGTTAGGCCTATTGCATTCACCACTTGACTTGTGCAGGAGATTGGATTTGATGGATGAATGACAATTAGAATAACGTATATGATTATAAAATATCAAATAATATAAAATTAAAGTTGAGATTATGCATATCTTGGAAAAATTATATGTCAAGATCTTTCTCTGTATTGTCTATTCAGAAAGTGGCAATCTTCTTGCGATGAAGCATAATCGCTCATAGGGTTTAATCCAAATATAAATAGACTAAAGAGGATACCTAGTCAGATATCTAAAAAAAGTTTGTGTCTACTGGGTCCACCCATTATGAAATTAAACCAGTGTCACACTAAAATCTACATTACTGCCTAACTAGGTCCAATACTAACAGATGTAATAAGCCCAATTCAATATGATCACAATGAACTAATCAAAATAATAGAATTGGAATATCTATTAATCCAATTAATTTTAAACACAAAATTAATTAATTAATATTACCCACGTATAAAAAAAATATCAACATAATAATTATAGCAACCTAGAAATGGCGAATCCAATATTGTTTGGTCTAATATAGTTTGACCTTACCAGTTATAATTTCAATATTGACTTATAAACTTGAATTTTCATACTGTCGTTGAACTTAATTTATTATTATTATTATAAGGAAGCATCTTTTGAATTCAAGGTAAGATAAATAAATCTTACTTTCTATTTCAATAGTTGATTCTCGTTTATCTAGGGTATGCATGACAATCATTCTATTCCCTAGCACTATTTCTGAAAAGAAACAATTCTTTTCTATTTCTGTGCCTTGGAACAGTTTATAAGAAAAAAAAAATATTTGATAACATATTCTATTTTTATTCCGAGAATGAGAATTGCATTTGATAACATAACAAATAATATAATAAAATATAATTCCTATTAAGCATAATTTTTTTTTCAGATTACACTTTCTTTTCCATATGGTGTGGTGGTGGTAATAGTGCGATGGTAATGGTGGTGGCAGGGGCGGCGGCTGTAGTGGTGGCGATGGTGGTGGTGGTGACGGCAATGGTGGTGGTAGCGGTGGCAGTATAGTGGTGGGGAGATAGCAGTGGCTGCGACGACAGTGGCGGTAGTTGGTGGCGGTGGTGGCAATGGTAATGGTGGCGATGGTGACGACAGTGGCTGTGAGGATGGTGGCGGTGGCCTGGAGGTAGTGGTGACGATAGTGGTTGCAGCGATGGTGGTGTCGACGACGACGATGGTAGTAATGACATGGTGGTGCTGGAGACAGCAGTGGCTGCGACGATGGTGAGGGTAGTTGGTGGTGTGGTGGTGATAATGGTGGTGGTGGTGACGGCTGTGGTTGCAACGATGGTGGTGGTGGTGGTGGTGACGACAGTGGCTGCGACAATGGTGGTGGTGGCTGCGGCAGTGGTGGCGGTGGTAGTAATGACATGGTGGTGGTGGAAACAGCAGTGTTTGCAACGAAGGTGGTGGTAGTTAGTGGCGGTGGTGACGGCAATGGCTGCGTCAATGGTGGTGGTGATTGGTAGCGGTGGCGGTGGCATGGTGGTGGTGGTGACGATAGTGGCTGCAGCAATAGTGGCGATGGTGGTGGTGGTGGTGATGTGGTGGTGGGTGGAGATGGTGCGGTGGAATCATGGTGGTGGTGACAACAACACTAGTGGTACAGTGACAATAGTATGGGTGATCGTGTCGGGATGGTAGTGGTGGTGGTGACGATGGTAGTGGTGAAAAGTAATTGAGAGAGACAAGTTTTTTTCGTTTTGTGCTAGGGAACAAAAAGGCAGAATTTTTTTATTCTTTTTTTTTGTTCCCCAGCACAAAAATTAAACCGGTTCATCCCGGGAACAAAAAATAAATCAGTTTTACCAAACGAGTTTTCTATCCATTTTTATTTCCAAGAATAGAAATTAAAAAAGAATTGATTCTGAGAAAATTGTCATGCACACTCCTAATGACTGTAATTAATTATTAATTCTAAATAAACCATAATCATAAAATGAAAGGAAATTAACGGTACAGACGAGGAATAAAACTTATTAACAAATGTTAGGAGGACAAAATATTATCCGAATATTACAAATTTGATCAAAAAAAATTTACAGTAATATTTATTACATGTACCTTTCCAATGAAAACCGCTAGATTTGAAGATATTATGTATTTAATTATTTAAATGCAAGCAAGGTGGCAAGTGATGTAAGGCAACTAATGAACTAAATAAACATTAAACGGGGAACACTCCACTCCCGTGT